ACGAAATAGTTAATTAGCTAGTGGAAAAATGAGGTAGAAGTCATCTTGATTGATATTTACTAAGAAATAATAGAGAGAGTAGTGAAAATACTAGTAAAAAAACTAAAAAAATAAAAATGCCAAGGAAAGTGCGAGCAAAATGATCGAAATTATTATGAGTCAATTCAATTGTTATGGTCTTGGTGCCACTTTCATAGCAGTTGCCACAAGGCAGTTTTAAAGCAAAGTGCAATATCGTAGTAATTTTCATATTTTCTTATGACTTGTTTCCTTCCTATCTGCCATAATTATTGGCATTTACGGGTCTACCCAAACCATCAGCTCTTAAGAATAAGAGACAGTATGTAGATTACACAAAATTAAGGCTTGGGATTGTCATGTATTGTAAAATTTGCTATTCTTATATATGGTAAATTGAGATCCATCAACTATCAAAAGGACTTCCATATAAACATTGCCAAATACTAACGGAATGAAAATTGTAAATATCATATCTCCAAAGACTCACATGACTGAAAATCAAACACGATCATACTATCTTTGAGCCTCCACCTTACCATAGGTAAGATCTTAAACATTTTTGTTGATTTTTAGTAATACCATTACTACTATCATAATTAAAGCTAAATGGAATAATTTGATCACAATTGTTCATCTTGCTTGGCCAAATATTCATGTTCCAAACAGGACCATAAAATCATTTGAACAATGTTTTTAACAAGGTTAAAATACAATCGTTATAAAGTCAACATCTTAGTGAAAGTGGAAAAAAAAAAAACCCAAACAAAACAAACAAGGCATGTCATGATAAGCTTGAAACTAAATCAAGCAAGCAATTTTTCCCTATTATGGTGAAAATTAAAAAAAAAATGAATTGAAAGTTACCTTCTTTGAACCTTTTGACAGGCTAACACTTCTGAAAAAGAAAAAAATTAAAAGAAAAAAAACAATGTGAAGCTTTAAGCTTTAAACAATGCAAGAGGGAAATTTGAAAATCTGAAAATGAAAAACTAGGAAATCTAAAAATGAAAGACAATTTTGTTAGGGATTACCACACACATGCAACACTTATGAATAAAATAGCAAGCTCAAATCAAGAATAAGAATACAAATATATTTGGTTCAGCCCAACTCAAAATGGTCTATTAACAAATAAATTTTTACAATTGTAAGACTTTTAGAATGAGAAAAGTTTTCAATAACTCTTTACTCAAAATTTAACCCAAAACTCAATTACACCATTTTAATAGCCTACTCACATAACTATTCTCTTGGTGTCTAACTATCTGGGATTACTAACCCAAAATCAAAATATCTTATTTATAAGGGTGAAACATTTTATACCTTTACTAAACTCTCAATATAGGATACAAAACAAACTTAAAACTGTTATAACTTTTGATGTGAAATTTCGAGATTCAAGGTAAATCCTAACAAATCTTTCCTTGACTTGAATCTCCAAACACTTCAATAGTATTTGCAAAGCTAACACGCTTATCTTTATTCCTTTTTTTCATCACAAGAATCCCAGCAATTAAGCCTCTATCAAGCATGTACAAGTGATTTTTGACCCTATGCCATTGTAGAATCATACTACCATTCTGTATATTTTCAACGAATCATTACTATCATAATATATGTACTTCAAGAAGCTAACTTACCCAAAGTAATCAAATTGTAGTTATAACTTGGTACATATCTTACATGATGAAGCGTTTTAACATCATTGTGACATCTAAGGTGAACACTCCCAATGCCTTAAATCTAAACCTTTTCATTGTTAGCAACCATAATATCCTCATACTTTTCATTCTCATTCAACTTCACAAAGTAACTCCTATCATTGCAAACATGAACTATAATAGCTGAATCTAAAATCTAACCTTTATCACTTTTCAAAGTTTAAGTCTTATCCATACAACTCGTTAAAACGACATCATCATCATTAGACACAATGGCAACAATATCACTCTTTCCTTCATCTAATTTTTTCTCATCATTTGCTCTTTTAAAGTAGCTATATCTATTCTCAACTTCTTGCAGTGCACTTGGATGTCTTTTTTCATCATTATAATAACATTTTATGTCATTGTAATCTCTGTTTCTTGACTTGGATCTTCTTTTTAATCCATCAATTCTCTTTTGAGTCTTTTCTCGATCAAAATCTTTTACAGCTAGTGTACTCTCTCTAGGTAATGAGTTTTATGTTCTTATAAACCTTTCGTTCTTAGGCAACAAGACAATCACATCATTCAACTTTAAAGTAGACCTACCCATTAACACAGTTTGAACTAAAGGCATATAAGACTTGGGCAAGGATGACAATAAAATTAAAGCCTTCTCTTCATCTTTTAACTCATCAACAGAAATCGCAAGTAATTAAAAAACCAATCTATTAAACTCATTCAGGTGATTATGAAGACTCGTATCTTATTTCATCTTTAGAGAATACATATCCATCTTCAAACATAATCTATTAGTCAATGACTTCGAAGCATAAATACCCTTAAGCTTATCCTACAAACTCTTCGAAGTACTCTCAATCAACACATTGTACTTTACCTATGGGGTTAGCGTTAGTCTAATAGTATTAAAAGCTTTCTTCTAAATTCAATTCCAATTACCATTTGACATTACCTCATGCTTACTTCTCTCTAATGCCTGATCAAACCCTTGTTATACTAACAGATCTTGAATCATACTTTGTCATAACATAAAATTATTCTTTTCATCAAATAACGGAATCTCAAACTTAAGTATAGGCATACTAGACATATCTTTTTCAAACATCTTGAAACACTGCTTCATGATCTCTTGGGTTCACAAATCTTAAATGTCGAACCTCGCTTTGATACTACTTATTGGGAAATTACCACAGCTCTGATACCACTTGTTAAATATCACCACACACATGCAACACTTACGAACAAAATAGCAAGCTCAAATCAAGAATAAGAACACAAATATATTTAGTTCGATCCAACTCAAAATGGCCTACTCCAAACCTAATCTACTAACAAATAAATTTTTACAAATGTGAGACTTTTACAATGAGAAAAATCTCAAAAAACTCTTTACTCAAAACTCAATTACACTTTTTTAATAGCCTATTCAACTAGCTATTCTTTTGGTGTTTAACTATCTAGAATTACCAAATCAAAGCCAAAACATCTTATTTATAAGGGTGAAACTTTTTATACTTTTACTAAACTCTCGATGTGGATACAAAATAAACTCAAAACTCTTATAACTTTCGATATAAGATTCTGAGATTCAAAGTAAATCCCAACAAATTTGGGAATAATAGGGGAAAAACAAAGAAATGAAAAAAGGAAATTTGGGTAAGGATAGGGCTCGATGAAATTGGAGTCAAATTTAGTGGTATTTGTATAAAAAAACACCATTAAATTATTTTCAACAAGTTATTTGTGGCGTTTATGTATATAAACGTCACTAATTTTTACTAATTAGTGGTGTTTTGAGATACAAACGCTACTAATTTTTACTTTGTAGTGGTGTTTCTATTACAAACGCCGTCATATGAATATTTATTAGCATTTGCAACAAAAATACTGCTAACTTTTAAAAACATGAAATTTAGTGGCATTTATTAGTAAAATATTGCTAAAAAACTACCACATTTAACCATTTTTTGTAGTGTATATTCACACATACATATATATACATATATATAAATATAAATATATATGTATATATATATGTATATATATATATATGTATGTATGTCTAGGTATTTTTAATTCAAGTAGAGCTAGTATGATATTTTTATTTAGATAATCCTAGAAAAGGTTTTTAATAAGAGTACAACCAATTGGAACGTGTTCTACAATTTTAATGAAAACTATAGTCTATATTTCATAAAAAAAAGTACACACATACACACACATCTATATATTTTTCCTTTCGTCTCATTTTTTTATTCATTTTTTGGGATATTTTAAATTATATATATATTTTTTAATATCTAAAACTCTTATTTTTTTATATTTTAAAATTATTTTAATGAATTTTTTTTACTTTTTAACATTAAAAATTATGAAATTTTAATTTTATAAATTTTTTTATAAATTTTAATATTAAATATATTAAAATCAAATATATTTTTAAAAATTTTCGTGAAAGTCGATAACACTAAAATAATTTGGTACAAAAGAAATATATTAAAAAGAAGTATATTAATTCGGTGGCATTTCTTACGATACAATGTGATTATCACTTAAAAGCACATGATTTTAGAAATTTTTGTATGGTTCTACCTAATAAAATTTAAGCGAAAAAAGATAGATTTCAATATATTTATAAGCAAGATTAAGTTCTTAATTTTCAAGGATATGCTTTTAAGGAATAAATTCGAGATGCACCTATTTTTACATTTAGTTAAGACGAATTAATTAAAAATTTTGAACTTTAAACTAGAAAAAGTTAATTACAATATGTTGTTAAACTAGCCATTAAATAAAATATAGTTACATGGCTTTTCTTGCTAACAAGTAACGCCGGTCTTTGACATAAATTTGGTTTTATGAAAATTTAGGTGAACAGATTTACTTATTGTTAGAAGTTTAATTTTTTTTTTTTTTTTGGCTTTGGACAATAAAATATGATATTTTGGGTTAACATAATTTTGAATATTTCGTATGTGTAAAAAAAATTTTAATTTTTCTTTGGGTTTCAATCTTGTTTTTAATTTTATTCTTATTTTTTTTAATAGAAAATTCCTTTCTATGAAAAATAATGCTATTAAGTATACATATTTCCATTATAAATTTATATCTTTAAAATTGAGTAAAGATAAAGAGAAAAGTAAAAACCTATAAAAGAAAAAAGATGTATAATTTAAAATAATTATTTTTAAAATTCATTACATATAAAAATTATTAATTTATACTTAAAAAATAAAAATATTAGCAGCGAAGCAAGGAAAATTTTGCTAGCATGTATTAATTAAACGTAATTGTTTCTTCCCGTCTCTTCTTCAGTGTGCCTCAAACCCTGGAAAAATACTGGCAGCATCGTTACGCCTCTCAAGTTAATATTGCTGAGAATGAAACACAGGTAATTTACATTTTAATCGTTATTATGCCTCAAACCCACTTTTTTAAATACTTTTTTTCTTGTTCAATGCAGACTCTGCACCAAGAGGTATTGAGGTTAAAGGCAAAATATGAATCTCTTCAGCGCTGTCAAAGGTAATTGACATTTGATTTAACTTGATCAATACGACAAATGCAATGATTTATATTTATAAATTAAAGCCTTCCTATGAACTTAATTAACATATATAGTCATTTAAAATTATGTTTGGTGCATAAGATAATAAATAGGATAAAATGATAATTATTTTATATTGTATTTGATTTATATCTAAAAAAAAAGATACAATTACAAAAAAAATTAATTATCCTCTTGGTATAAGATGATTTAATCTTCTTAAAGTGAAGATTATTTTTAAGCAATGAGATTAAACTTATATATTTTATTATATTATTAAAAATTATAACAATAATTTAAGTTGTATAAAATTTGAAGAAATATAATTTTGGTTAATAAATAAATTATTTTATCATAATATTTACATACATCAAATACAAGATAAGATGATATTATTTAATCTAATCTTATTCATAATATCAGTTTATCCTATTTTATCATAAATTTATGTACCAAATACATCTTATATATATTAATTATCTGAAAGCACACTGATTATAATTGGATGATAATGTATTTTTGAAGGCATCTTCTTGGAGAAGAGCTTGAGACACTTAGTGTAAAAGAGCTGTATAAAATTGAGAAACAGCTTGACAGAACTCTCTCACTGGCTAGACAGAAGAAGGTAACTCATGTTTCTAAATTCAATTTTGCTTTTATATTCAATCGGTTGAAGTAAACAGCATGTGATTCTGTGATTGTGTTTAATTGTGTAAGAACCTAATTTTAAAACAGATGGGACATCACAAGGAAGAACAGAGGAGTATATGCTAAAAGTTTTTATATCATCAAATGAAAACATATGGCCTTTTATCATTGTTGGTGCAAAAGTTTTTGAATTGTAGGCTTCCTTCTTTTGAAGCCCTTTATTATTTTCACAAAGTATAACATCGACAATTATCTTAAAACTTTTAGAAAATATTTAAATTATAAGTAAAAGTTTATATTATATATTTATTGACATCGATTGTAACTGTTAAAATCAAGGGAAAGTTCAACTGTAATGATCTTTTGTTGAAGGCAAACAATTTCATTTGTAACATTTCTCAGATTCATCATGAAATAATCAAGATTTATTCTAGAGTTAGGAAAAACCTGAAAAAACTGTATTTATGAAGCTATCTAACTAAATTACAATGAGAATGCCAGTTGCTAGTATGAACATAGTCTTTGCAGTTATTTCATATCATTGAAAATTTAATTTCTTGATTATAAATGCAGGTGCAGCTGTTGTTGGAACGAATGGAAGAGTTACGCAAAAAGGTTAAAACACCGTTAGCCAAATGACTTTGTTTGTGATGAATTTTTTTTCAGTAAAAAATTTTAAAATTTTGAAAAATTCAAAATGAAGGTATTTTAATTTTTTTTTTCAAAATGTTAACATTTGTAATTATTTTTTTAGATAAATATTTCTTAAAAAGAAATTTAGTCTATTAAAATTTGCTAAGATAAAAAAAAAATTACAAAAGAAGAATAATGATATTAAAGATAAAAATATATAAATAAAATATATAATATAAGTGTCAATAGATTTGTAAAAATATATAAATATTATTAATAACATAAAAAATATATATTATAGTTAGATAAAATGAATATTTAATTTTTTTTGAATTTTTATTTTATAGTGAGCCATGTACAAAAAAAAAGAGAAGATTTAGAGGAATTTTGAAAAATCACCTATTTGGGTGAAATTTCAATAGAGTTGAAATTCCATTTAAGTTTTAAAATCTTCTCTTATTTTTACCTAAACAAGTAAATTCATTTTTAGACTTTTAAAAAACTTGATTGAAATAAAACTTCTCTTCTAAACACCTCATCCAAACGTACCATCAGAGCATGATCTCATGAGTTTCAGTGGCTTTACCTAGTTTTTGGCACAATTCCACTGCAAATAAGAAGTGAAAACTTACTCATCCTTGGTTAAACATTGTATCATGCTTATGATGTTTCGTATGAACCATCAGGAACGTGAACTTGAAGACGAAAACAAACAGCTCAAGTGTCAGGTTAATTTTTTTTCCTTAAATTCCTATACGTATTCAGTGTCTACTTTGAAGTTTGCACTTGTTTAGCATATTTTCGGTAGAATGATAATTTTGCTCCTTATGGTATTTTCAGCTAGAGTTAGAGCAATGTTTTCAAGCAGCTCAAGGGTTAGGAGATCCTAACATAGAAGTCGGTAATGAATATAATATGCCTCCTTTACAAGCTAATCATGCCCAGCAAGAACCCTCCATGCCGATGGGGTAAGATTTTACTCTTCTTCCAATTAATTAATTTATAGATTTATATTTGATACATTTTCAGTATACAAATAGTAAGTTATGAGTGAATCACACAATGACACTTCATAAAAAAATTAATTTTAAATATATTTTTAAGACTAAATATCTTTATTTTTTATGATTTTAAAATTTTAAAATTAATTTTTTAATAAAATATCATTATATAATTCACTAACAATATGCAATATTTATATACTAATAATTATTAAATATAAACTCTTAATTTATTATCTTTATCGGGGTATTAGTTAAAATATTATGGTTGTGATAATTGGTTGCCAATTTCAATTTCTTTCACCGATTTTCCACCCCTAAATGATCTTAGTGCAAGTTGTATTAATTCCCTGAATTTATATGCTTGTTTATATGCCTAACCAAATGTGAAGTTCCTTCACTCAAGAAGTTGAAGATATTATGAAAAATATTCCAAAGTTTTGACGTTTTATAAAGAAAAAAGAAGTTACTTATCTCATTGCAAATATCATTTTACTTCTAGTTCTATACTAACAATTAATTAACTTGAGAAAAGACGGATAAGGCAAAAATAGCATATCTTGGATGTCCAAAATCATGACAATTTTTTTATTATTATTATTATTATAAGCAAATAAGGGTATGATGAATAGCAGCATTTGAAACAGGTACCATCAGTTTATTCCCCAAAGGGTTACCGAAGATTGGGCGGATGGAGGTGCAAATAAGTGTACTGCAGTATGGCTTTGATCCTTTCAACCTCAGCTGCTACGTGCAAGACATTCTTCATTATATATGATTCTTATCTTAACTTCCAATAATACAATCTCCTACATAGTGATGATTTGAGTGCTAGAAAAGCTTCATTATCATCAGCGAAAATGAATGAAATTAGATAGACCAGTATATTTATATCCTTGAAGAATACTTAAACCTAATTAATAACTATGGAATTGGGATCAAATTGCTGTACATTTGAGGATCTGCCCTTCAAATTGGGATCAACCTACTTCTTCCATGCTACCCTTTGGGCTGATAAAGTAAGTTCCTTTCTAGCTAGTATCCTTCGTAATTGCTTTTGCTTGTGTTTGGCTTTCTGGATGCATGTGTCACGGGTCGAGACTTAAGCTCCGAACTCGCGCGGTTCCGGGACCCGGGCATTCACCCTTCCGGCGTCTCGAATCAGCCTGACCGTCACGGTTCACACTCTTGTGAGGTATTGTCCGCTCTGACCTCCTGACCTCACGGTTTTGTCCTACAAAAGGCGCCTCACAAGGCGGAGATGGTGTGAACCCTTTTATACCCCAGTGACCTTCCTATTATGTTCGATGTGGGATTCAGGACTCTTCCTTAGGTCCGTGACACATGCATTAGGCTAGAAATCTTTAAGGGAGTGTTTGGATCAGAAGAAAGTAAATTTTTTATTGAAATCTTACTTTTTATAATTTAATTTTTTAATTCAGTTCATCAAATGTGATTTTAGATGGTTTTTAAAATTTTTAATGGTGTCAAAAGAAGAAAAATACGGGCAAGTTAAAAACTCTTATTTTTCCTGAATTTTTTTTTAGATTTCAAAAGAAAAGTAAAATTTTATCTTATTATTGATAATTAATTACATTTTCAGATTATATTATCTTGTTTAGTCTCCTAAAATTATAGAGTAAATATGTTTTTTGTTATATTTATATGTCATAACGATTTTGGGATTGCTAGATAAATGTTAAAGAATCAAATCAAAACCAAGGGAGTCACCACTAATTTTTTTGTTAGGTGTGATTAGTCAATTAAAAAGTTTACTTTTTTAATAAAATCTTAAAGTTTATTAAAACTTATTAAAAAATAAATTTTGATCTATAAAAAATAAAATTAGGTACGGGAATATAGTTATATGTGAAAAATGATTAGCACACTTATATCGTCTGATTTAAAATGGTACCAACTAATCATATGTTATTTTTTTACTTTGATAAAAATGACCATGATTTGGATATTTAAAATAATTCCCATAATTTCATTTATTATTTTTTTTTGTAAAACCCCTTTAAAGCATTTTATTTAGGAATAGAATGGAAATTTCTAGTGTCAAAAAATTTTACTAAATTCTTCTATATCTAAGTGAAATTTTGAAAAATATCTCTCCACTTGGATTCTCATAATAATTCTTAAAATATAGTGTAACATTCCTTTATAAAAAAAAAATAATTATTGAAAAGCTTTCCAATATCTAGGTAAGGTATTGTGAATTATTTTTATTCAAAAATATTAATTTTTTTATTTTTAAAAATTAATTTTAAAAATTTTACTTCATCACTTCAATTTATTATCATTGAATACCATGAATATGTGCAATATACAACAAATGATAACAATAAAATCAGACCATGCAAACAATTAATTTAATTTAATTTTTTTCAAATCTTTTTTTTTTCATGTCTTTTATCATTATTTCTTCAATAAAATATTAAAAAAAATAAAAACTTTTAATGATGAAAATTTTTCTTGATTCTCCAATATCTAAGTAAAATTTAAAAAAATTGATCATTCGCTTAAGAGATTCACATAAATATTTTTGAAAACTAGGATAAAATTCTTTTGTAAAAATTAATTATTTGAATTCCCTCTAATTCAAAATCATATTTTCATATAGAAATACTATATTATTTTTATTTGTAAAACCCTCTTTTGAAAATCATTTTTGAATCACAAAATTTTTTACATTTCATTTTTTATTCAAATCATACTTTATTTCATCATACATCCACAAGCAAATTAATTTTCAAGAATATATTTGTATATTATTTATTACCAGTTAATATTTTTATTTTTTTCACAAGTCCTAAAATAGTATTAACAACCATACAAAAAATTAAGGACTCATGAAAATAAATAAACAAAAGAGAAAAAAAATTTACCCTAAATAAAGCTTTTGGATTAGAACCCAATATGATCCAAGTCATGAACTAAATTTTATGGGCTAAGCTTTGTGGATCAGTTACCAATTGGTGAGCCTAAAGTAGATTTGGTTTGGGTTAGTGAGCCAGGTCGAGCCACCAGTTAGCAGATCGGGTCAAGTCTAGCTTCCTTTTCCTTTTTTTTTTCTTCTTCCCAAAACTTTCCATTTTGAACCTACCCTTTTTTTCTCATTTTCTCCTTCTTTTCCTTTTTTTTTTTCTTAGCTGAATCCTTCTTCTCTCTTTTTTTTTCTTTGATCAAAATGTGCCATAAGTCCCTGTACTTTTTAAATTTTGGGAATTTAGTCCTTTTAATATAATTCAAAAGAAATTAGTCATTGTACTTTTAGATTTAATAATTTCAATGCAATTGTTAACAGTGTTAAATTTTATCCATTAAATTGGTTAATGTGGATGTTGATTTGCTTGCGTGTTAGCTGAAGTTGCTCATGTGGCATTTTGATTGGTTGGTGTTAAATTTCAGTGATGACGTGGATTAAAATCTTTGCCATTTAGCTTAGATAAATCCACGTTAGCTCATTAAACATTATTTTATTTTTAAATATTATTTATGATTAATATATTCCTAATATCATTAAAAAAAACTTTAAAATTCAAGAAAAAAATAATTAGTTACCTGAAAAATTTGCAAAATCCCTAATCTCAATAATCTTCAACCCTAATCAGAATCCTATTTGAACAAAAATCCCTAAATTTGAAACAAATTTTAACCTTAATCAAAATAAAGAAATAGAGAAATCCTCAAGACTTCTTCATGCTTTAACCCTAATAAGAATTATTGCACTTCTTCGCACTTTCAAATAAGAATAGGTTGGATGATTTCGTCATTTGCTTTCCTCATTTTCTTCATTTTTTTGCACTTTAAGTGCACTTTCATTTGAATTTTTTGCTTATTGAAATTTTCATATAACTAAAAAAGAAGATTTTTTTGAATACCTAAACCCTTATTCAAACATTGAATAGAATAGGTTGACAAGTTACGATTACATTCTTTAATAAATATGTTTACTGAATATTTTAACTTTTTTAGAGCAATAATTGATTGTAACGATGTGTGGTCTTATTGTTTTCTATTATATTTTGTCTGGTTCTATGGCCTACTTGTTTAGTTGTATGGGAAATTGAATATAATTATTAATGCATAGTTAAATTACATAATTTTGCAAATTGCTAGCAACATTGGTTTTTGTATAACATGTATGATTGTTTGGTATATAAAATGTGTATTGCATTATGTAAATGTGCCATTTGTTGCACATAACATTAGTTATTTGGTTAACCATAGATATATTTATTTATTTATTTATTTATTACATTTTGATGTTGAGGTTTAAGGTTAGAATGACTTGGGAACCATGCCAAGCACGATACCACAATGAGGGACAATTCAAAATACCACCATGGGGAACAATTCAAAAAAAGTCATAATCCAGTTAGATGTGTGAATGGGATAGTGATTGAATTTGATGAGGATCCAAATGTATTTGTTATTAGACAATATTAGGAACTGTGAAAAGTTTAGGTTATGATTTGAGGAATAAGGTTAAAATTTACTTTGTGGAGTTAGGTAAAACATTAAAAAAAAGGCCTGAAGTTGTTAACAGAAGAGGTTAACAATATGATAGACTTGATTGCTTAATTAAAGATAGGCAGGCCTATAGATATTTATGTAGAACATTTGGATTTTAAACTTGATAGTGACATTCCAAATGTTCTGCTTGAACCAATTGAAATTGGTGAAGGTTCAAAAGCTCCTCTCAGCAGAGGCTCAACAACTTTAAAAATCCTCTTGAAAAAGCTCCTCTCAGTAGAGGCTCAACAACTTTAAAATTTCATCTTGGAAAAGCTCCTCACAGCAGAGGCTAAACAATTTTAAAATCTCATATGAAAAAGCTCTTCTCAGCAGAGGCTCAACAACTTTAAAATTTTATCTTAGAAAAGCTCCTCTCAGTAGAGGCTAAACAACTTTAAAATCTCATCTGAAAAAGCTCCTTTCAGTAGAGGCTCAACAACTTTAAAATTTCATCTTGGAAAAGCTCCTCTCAGCAGAGGATCAACAACTTTAAAAATCTTTTCTTGAAAAACTCCTCTCAACAGAGGCTTAACAACTTTAAAATCCATCTTGAAAAAGTTCCTTTCAGCAGAGGCTTAACAACCTTAAAATTTCATCTTGGAAAAGCTTGTCTCAGCAAAGGCTCAACAACTTTAAAATCTCATCTGGAAAAGCTCGTCTCAGTAGAGGCTCAACAACTTTAAAATCTCATTTGAAAAGCTTCTCTTAGCAGAGGCTCAACAACTTTAAAATTCTCTTGAAAAAGCTCCTCTCAGCAGAGGCTCAATAACTTTAAAATCTCATCTGGAAAAGCTCTTTTCAGCTGAGGCTCAACAACTTTAAAATTTCATCTTGAAAAAGCTCCTCTCACAGAGGCTCAACAACTTTAAAATCTCATTTGAAAAGCTCTTATCAGCAGAGGCTCAACAACTTTAAAATGTCATTTGAAAAGCTCCTTTCAGTAGAGGCTCAACAACTTTAAAATTTCATCTGTTCTCGAAATTGAGTTCTCATATTTGAATATAGATTTTTTATTTTGAAATCTTTTGGTTGATTTTGTTTTTCGTTATGAAATGAAAAGTCTCTGTCTTTATTATAATTGCTCATGGATGCATGTACTAAGTGCCCTATATGCAATGTATGTAATGCAAAAATTATTCATTTTGGTAAAAAGGTTCTCGAAATCTCTTGCTTTGGGGTTTCTTTTATCAAAATTGCCATATGACCAATCTGTTCTTAACATTTGACCATTGTATTCTTCCTTAACAATACTTTTTTTCTTTGAATGTTTGTAACATTAATGTTTTGTCATGCTTTTCTCGTCCCTTTTTATATGCCTTTATCAACTTTTAAAAAAGTAATGCTAAGATCTTTCATGTTTGTTTTTCTTTTCATTATTTTAAGTCCTAGACCAATAAAATGTAATCACATATTTCTTCTATCGTATGGCGGATAAAAAATGAGAATAAAGGAATGGATATGTGTTATTTCCAAAGAAAGGACATCATATTTTATTAGACTGGTAACAAGTGCATGGCAAAGTATTTAAGTTGAAACAAAGGTGCCTAAATAATAATCATAAGATAATCATAAATA